TTAAGATTGTACCTGTGGATGCTGTTATAACCAGAAGTAATTCTTTCAGCAAAACATAGGAACAGAGTTAAAATCACTTAAGGTAAATAACAGAAGGAGTAAACACTAGCACTGGACATATAAAGGTGAAAATTTTTCTCAGGGAGGTAACATCCTGTTAAAATTGACATATAACCCACAAATCCTCCTTATTTCTCTAGCCACAACCTGCAGTAGTCCCTCAAGAATTAGAGAAAGGGGGGATATATATCACAGATACATAAGAGAGCAGGGCAACAAGGAAAAAGATTTCCAGACTCCCGCTCCAACTCTCCCAAGGCAGAACAAGGGGTCACAAAGGGAGAAGAGGAAAAATATCAGGTAGCAGAAATCTATGAAAAGTTCATAGAAGGGATGAAGAAAATAGATCACACTAAGTGGGAGAAACTTAAAGCATTTCCCCTAAAATCAGGAACAAGACAAGGATGTACACTATCACTCTTTTATTCAACTTAGTATTTGAAACATTATCCAGAGCAATTAGGCAAGAGAAAGAAATAAAAAGGCTGCACAGAAGAAACAAAAAACTCAAATTATCATTACTTGCAAATGACATGATAATCTACATAGAATACCCAAATAACTCCACCAAAGGACTCTTAGAATAATAACAAACTTCAGCAATGTAGTAGGATACAACATCAACACACAAAAATCATTAGCATTTGTGCACACCAATAATGAACAGAATGAGAAGGAAATTATGAAAATATCATTCACAGAAAAATGAAATACATATGAATGAACCTAACCAAGGAAGTGAGTAACCTGTAAAAAGAAAACTATAGTACTCTGAAAAATTAGATTGAAGAGAACATCAAAAAATGGAAAGATGTCCCATGTTCCTGGGTAAGCAGAGCCAATATTGTCAAAATGGTCATACTCCCAAAACTGTTATTCAGATTCAATGCAGTCACAATCAAAATATCAATGTCATCCTTTACAGATCTAAAAGAAAATCTTAAAATTTATATGGATCTAGAAGAGACACAGAATAGGAAAAGTAATTTTC